TCCTAGTCCATACCATGACACTACTTGAAGGATATCCGTTCCTTTCATGTATGTTTGCCAAATCAGATGCAGTACCACTCTCATGCCAAATCAATTGGCATTCTACAATCCTATGACGAACTGAACCTACTCTTATCTACAACCTCGTTCATCTTTTCTGCAGTTGTGATGCTGATTACACCATTGCAAATAAGCAGAATGGTGACGTCTGAAAACTGAAATGCATACAACAGGACGGCAGGCGTTCAGTCCTTCTTGATGCAAATGTCTGACAGCAATTTTTTGGGAGATTCGCTTGCCAGTAGTAACAAGTAACTGATTTTCTACCTCAGTAGCTGTGCTGAAATTGTTCTTTTTTGCTGATAACAGTATGTGCTTATCTTCTGCAGACATTGTACTAAGGTGACCAGATTCTGAAGTCTAAAATAAGGATTTTATGTGTATAATTTTTTAATATTTTTTACTAATAAATTATTATTGTGGTGCAGGTGGTATATATATTTGATATATATATATATATTCACTAAAGAAATATAGATTATATTATCTCCTAATATTAATTTTAGTAGAAGTATCTAAAAAGAGTGAACCCATCGGTAGGAAGTTTAATTCCGAAAATTGTTTTAAAGTAACATGAATGTAAAATTGTTAAAAATGTTTTACGGGGACTTAAAGTAAATTTTGAGTAACAAAATTTCAGTTGGAGAAAGAAGAAATTTTAACACATTTAATTTAAATCTGTAATCATCGCCAAGCATAATGTCAACATAAAAGGTTACAATACTCTTCGTTATTCAATTACTAACATAAGAAAATTGTTTACGCATTGCTGTATGATTCATTACTATGTTATCATGTGTTGATAAGCATACAGTGATGAAAGCAAAATATAATAAATAATGATTCAGCAGATTGGCGTCAGGAATATAAAATATTAGTAGGTGTAAATTCAACAATGTATCTATGTAAAATGTTTCGGTTTCAGATGTAAGCCAAGTAGGCAATTTGGTAGCTACAGAGGCAAGTTACCAATGGTACAAATTTATGCTAAAATTATTGTTTCTTCAATAACAAGGTATTTTATTTAGTGCAGAAGTGAAATTAAGAATCGGGACTCTCCACATGTTTTATTATGAGCAGGGGGGATAAAATGTGCATGCATAAAGCATGCAAAAAAGAGTTGTTTGTGCCTTTGAGATCCGGATTTTAGATTATTCTGGACATTGGACATCCGGATCTCAGGCTTTATACTGTATTGAAGTATAATCAGAGCATCCATGAAGTAATTACATCAAATACAAACACAGTTTGATTTTCAGTTGTAATAATTTTATGAAATATTGAAACCTGAGTGTTATTAAAATGTAGCCAAGCTTCTGCCGCTGAAGAGTTTTAAAATAAGCCCTTTTCTTCAGATTGAAAATAGGCCTTCAGTGATGAAGGGGTACCCTTTCAATGGCAAGAAGTAATGCTAACCATCTTGTTTGTGAGTACCCTAGTATTATTGAAAAATCGGTTTCTGCGAAGTTGCAGTAATTTTTCCAATGTTTCTATTCTAACAGTATAAGATTTAAAGTATATCTTAGAAATAATCATTTCTATATAAACTGGCAAAACATCAGCTGATGAAACAGTGTAATGGATAACACGTGCTGCATATCTCACTCCAATTAAACCACGGTTAAGGTTTTGTTTCATTTTAACAAAAACATTTTCTCCATTTCTGTCGACTCCTCCAGAGTTAAAACTTATGTTCTAGGCACAAAGGCTTATAACTTTTTTTTAAAATTATTTTCCTCAAAACAGATAATTAAATTGTTACTGATAATATTGGATGCTTCACCATCAAAGGATTTAAATTCTAAATTATTAATGCTACTCCATAACTCCAATTTATTAATCTAACAAGTGTTGGAAAACTTGTGATTGGATGTGTCAGCTAAGATTAAAACAAATGAACATTTAGTATTATTGCTTCAGCTTTGTAAATTTAAGCTCAAATGCCGCTTGAAGCATCTTAGACATACAATCCATAGACCTAAACCTATGGTTATGGCAAATATATGCAAAAGTACTTTCTGCTGCAGCTAAATTCTTCCTTATCACCATTTTTTCCTGTTTGAAGAAATTCTTTAACAATAAGCTAGATGCAGCAGCAAACTTTGGCATTTAATGATTATTACGATTTATGAGAAGTTTAATATCACTGCGTCCACCATGGCTTATTGAAAATTTTGAAGACATGTGTTGCACTGTGCATTGGAATCATTTAGTTTTTTTCATTTCCTTCTGTAGGTCTTCGTTAAATGTACATTTTCTTTTTTTTTAACCCATTACTAAAAAAAAATCAGTGGTGAAAATAAACAAATTAAATTAAATTGCAGTAAAATATATCCTTAGCACATATATAATACACCATTAATAAATGAATAAAAAAACCTATGTTGTTGCCAAATGAGAAATGTCATTACACTTGATGATGTTTCAGCAGATTTTTTAGAATTTTCTTAACCCTTATGCAAAATCAAAATAATAATGGAGTGAAAAATTTCTGATATAAATGTGATGAAAGGTTATTTTAGATATATCTACAATAAAATTTCAGCAAATGTCAAAAGAATTATTTTTAGATGCCGTGTAATAAATGTGTTGAGGGGATGATATATAGTAATGTATGTAATGCACCATTGATAATTAAAAATATATTTATATGTTACAAATTCAAATCATAATCGAATTAGATATCAATTAAAAATTGCAGTACTGTCTGTAAGTGGAAGTTTGAACTGCAACTGTGAGTAAAACTTCCATATATGTTAGATGGCTGGAGAGAGAAGAACAAGAATGAGAAATAGAGTTCTCTCATTGCAGTTTTTTTAAGGTAAATGCCCTATTTATGCAGCCAGTATGGCACACGTCTCTTAATTTACAGTTGTATTCTCAGTTTGCAATCTACGCTACTTAAATAAATATATTCATTTCAACTTAAACGTTTTCATGCTACTGTTTTTCAGGACAATTTGGGACAAATGCTATAAATCTCTGTAAAAAATCAGGGCAGGGACTGAAACTTTGGGACGTATGGTCATTTTAGTTGTACTATGAACATGACCTAACGCATGATGTTTGCTACACATTCCTTTTGTTTGAAATTATTTCCAAAGCCTTGAAACAACACTGCGGCTGACATCAAATTCTATAGAAACATCTGTTATATTTCGCCCTTCTTCAGTCTTGCTAATAATATGGCCACGCATAAAATCATCTAAATGATGTCATACCAAAAATTGCTAATTTATCAATTGATTCTTTCCCATTAAATTTTACTTTTGAACAACAATGGTCAATACACATCAAATCCCTTATATCTCTTATCACCACTGTCACGTGACAAATAACTTCAGTAATCCAAAATTTGCATATGCACAACAGCTTACTGTATCCTGCACTTATGTTAATTTCCACCTTTTCCTGCCTTCCATTTTATGGTTGCCGTCACACTGCTACTGTCATCCATCCTTAGCAATTGTCTACCAATGTAATTTCATTTTTCAGTCATAATTTCACGATCAGTTCTTTGATGTCTGCTTCTTCTATATCTGAAAATACTTTGCCTCAAATTCATTTTCAGTCGATAGAAATCCTTTAAAATGGTGGATAATTTCTGGTCAGAGCTGATGCCAACAAGCGTTCGGTTTGATGAACATTGAACAGCTGAATAAAATTCTAGTGTTGTACAAATTAAATGGAAGATATTGATAATGTGTATCCATGCTCGGTAAGGGTTTACTGTATTCTAACTTGTATTTTGAATGAGCCCACAAAGAGAAATCAAAAGTGGGAATGAAAAATTTTCAAAAATTCCAAACTTTTCTATTAAATATCTTATTCAGTTTTTGTCATATGGGAGTTAAAATGTTTGAGTTATTTTTTAGAATGAGAATAAACTTATGCTGAATATAACTTTTATGCACTGATGACCATATAAATTTTGTAATTTTTCAAAACTAACTTGAAATTTAAAATCCCAAAACATGAATATTTTAAGAATTTAGACAAGTTTTAAAACTGAAAATTCGTGTCTACAGTCAATGGTTGCAAGAAATAAAATTACCGTAATGACCTCTATGGACAGATTGTATAATATACCATATTTACTTGGATATGTTCCCCTTTCCTGACTAATTTTGCTACTTGAAAACCCTGAGGGGAAATACTATTTCTGAGTGGAAGTATTAAATGATAAAAATAGCACATTAAAAAGTGTACTATTATTATATTGTATATTTCAAAGGACTTATCAATTTTGATTATATTCTTTTTACCTACACAAAATAATTTTCTGTTTGTGCTAACATTTTACATTGCTGCAATAAATCAGGAGTTCCTGAATCATATGCCAAAAACACTAGGCAGAAAAATACATGGGGAAAGGAAACGTGAGTGCGAAGCAAGTGATGTGAAAATATTTCAGGCTTTTTTTATGGATGCTTCCATGGCTTCCTTCATGTGTAGGGTAAATGCAAGCTGTTTTGTCCTAAAAAAACCTCTATGGGGTCATCTTTCCTATGCCTTTATTCAAAAGTTTTATTTTGAAATTTAGGTAATTCTCACCTTTTATTAAAAAAAAGTTTCCCGGTTTAATTATAGAAAGAAAGCACAGCATAATGTTATGGTTGTTATAAGAAAATTTCACTCCATTAAATCCCCCCCCCACCTTTCTTTTAATGCTTCCAATATGGGCTGAAGAAATTCTCTTTTCATGATTTTCAGAACTATGTCTAAATTTTTTAATTGTATTTCTGATTCAGAATAATTTTAAATATATATCAATTTCCTAACTTTTGAATGGCATCTGTATTCTGCTGATTCTGACTTGAAAGACAGTTAAATATTTATACAGTTTTCTGTTTTGTTTGTATTCTGCTTTATCATCATGATTGTTTAGTGCCATAGCCACAGTTCGGATTTAATGGCGTTTGTACCCATTTTTAATGCAGATGGTTTACCTGTTAATAGCAGCAGTTCAGAATCCCTCGCATCTCATTCTGTGCCTCCACCAAGGCCCCCACTTCCAGAACAAAAAAATTATCCTTATCCTAGTTCTTGGAGGAGTGAACTTGGTACCCATCGTGCCTCTGCAACAAATACGTCTGATTTTGGCAAGTATATAGTCTTCTATGACAATGCATCTTTGTATCACTTTTTGTGCTTTTTGTGTAAAAATAAGTAATGAATATAAAGTTCTAAAAATCTTATGTTAATGTAACAGGGGGATGGTATTAGAAAAATACTTTTATTTTGTTAATTATTTAATTTTTAATTAACTAAGATGTAAACATTAATTTGATAAGTTATTTTGGGTGAAATTCTTTGTAACTCCCATTAAGTTTTTAAAGTACAGATATTTGAACTTAAGTTTTTATTTGATGCCATGTAAAGTAGTGTTTCATTTTATATAAGATATCAGTTTTTTTAAATCTGAAGTATTTTTCATTTTCCATCCTTCCAAAATAAACATGTACTAGACCCCCTTTTTTCTGCGTGTTTAAATTTAAAAGAAAGCTTTGGAAAATATTTGGGTAAGTACAAATAAGGTAAAAGAAGCTGCTTCTAAATGCACTAAATTCAAATATTTGCAATTTTCTCAAGTACTTCCTAAACAGGAATCTTTCTTCTGATTTTTTTAAAAATGTATATACGTATGTATGTATATATATATATATCAGAGTTGCCACAGTATCTGGAAAACTGGAAAAAGTCGGGGAATTCGAAAATAGACTAAAACATTCAGGAAAAGTCCGGGAATTTCATACAGCGATCCCGCCAAAAAAAGCGAGTTTTGCGCTGACATTGGAAGCAATCACTTTCTTGGCGAATTGTGTATCGCCTGAGCGTCATTCGGGCAGCTGACATGGAGCCAATTTTCCCAGCTCCAATTAGATTGTCATTTAGAAAGGCAAAGCAAGTTTCCAGCAACTTTGATTTCCAGTAGAATTCGAAATGAGAACTTGAGAATGAGAACTTTCATGTGAACTTGAGAATCGCATGCGCATATGCAGTGCATGTTGAACTAAACAAAATACTTACTCTCGTATAAAACAAAATCAGTTTCCTAATATATGGTACCACGGAGGTTAGAATTAAAGAATACATATTGTTAAGAAGGAAAACTCCGTAACCGGAGTGGCTCCCTTTTGCGCAGAATGTCTGTCGCCAAAGCTCGAAGCCGGTGTCGAAGTTCGAAGGTCACGTTATCAAAAGTTCATAAAATGAATATCGTTTACTTTAAACTTTAAAGGAAAAGAAAATATTTTTTGGTGCAAGTGAATTAATTAATGGATTAATTACTTTGAGCCTTCCAAAAAAACTGTGAAAACCCGTTTTTAAATTATTGCAAAAAATCAAAGTAGAAACGTTTTGTCAAAGAACGTTTCTTCTTAGCACATGTTCCTCAATTTCCTGTGTACATCGCGGAGAGGGAAGTTCTGGGTGCCAGGTTCCGTCGCCAAATCCCTTGGCAAAGTTTCCCTCCGCTTTCTAGCGGCGTAAATAGCATTAAGTTTATGGAACCTTTTCTTCTTTATATAGATGTTCTTTGGTTAGAATAACCTCCATGTACAGTACACACGGGATTTGGCGACATGAGCAGTAAACAGGTCATTTTGGTGTTGGCAACAATTTTCAAAATCGTGCCAAGGCCTTACTGTATACTAGGATTTTACCGCAAAATCTTTTAAACCTTTTTTTTTTTTTTTTTTTTTTTTTTTTCTTTTTAATAAATGCCTTATTTGCCATTGTAAAATTTTAAAAAAATAGTAATCAGTCATCTAGGCTAACCATGTAATATAACTATATTTGCTAAAATATCGTTGATTATTGTAATTCAATTTTTAAGTAATTATTTTTATGTTATTTGTATCATTTAATGTTGCTTCTTCCCTCTAAATTTATTTATTATTAGTAAATAATACTTCCAAATTTCAGAAAATTTTCTCTGTCATAATTCTGAAATTAATTCTAGCATTATGATGACGTAACATCACAAAATTTAATGCACATAGTTTTTGCTTATGTGTGCTGCAAAATAAATATAAAATACCTAAATTTATTTTTAAAATATCATTAAATAGATTTCTTTCATTCATTTAGCTGCAAAATGTCTGCCTTCTTTTATTCCAGATTGTTCAGATTCTAATCTCAATCTTCAGTGGAGAAAACAACTCTTATTATATAATAGTAATGCTTTGGGGATATAAGTCATATGTAATTGGCAAATTTTTGTGGTTTCGAGTAATACCATAATTATTTTACCTCTTAGCACAGCCAACGTGCGTTACACGAATAGACTGGAATTTTCTTAAAACATACCTGGAAAAGTCAGGGAATTCCATTCTCCTGTTTGAGTGGCAACCCTGATATATATATATATCCAGATGAATAGCAATTTGCTGCTCAACAAAAATGGATGTGAATCTAATAAAAATAATTATGAATTGAGTGATTATTTTTTTCTGGACTAAAATATAACATATGCTGAAACAATTTTCAGTACAAGTGTGCATTAATATGTGTTAGTTTATTTTTTATACATTAAATCAGTTTTTGTACCTTAATTAAGGAAGAAAGTCTTATTTATGAAATTCATATATTACATTGAGGTAATGTTAAAATTATTTCTGCACAGGTGGAATAGTGTCTGATTTCCCAAATGAAATTTTTAAATAACGTGCATGCAAAATATACTCTAACAAGAGACCATGCACCAGGAATATTAAAATACTAATATTTTGTTAGGTGTGAAATATGCATATTGAAGGATGATTCTTTTATTCTGAATCTGATGATTATTCAAATTCCTTCATTTCTCCTTCCCAACCAAAACAATGTCCTTCCCATTGAAAACACTTTTACAATATATTACAAATGAGTCAAGTAAACAAAATAGATTGTTTTGTAAAATCCTTAGTACTCTGTAACATTTTTCACTTCATCATAAGAACAAAACTGTTGTCTGTTTAGCATTGATGATGCTCAAAAATCACGTGCATCATTTGCACATTTTTACTTAATTTTCTTGTAAAAAGGTAGCACAGTCAAATGTTGATTTTCATTAACTTTGATGGTTTTATCCATATAGTTTCTTTCCTCCAAATTAACATAAATTATTGTGGTAAATTATTTTATTTACGTAATATATTTATATGATGCAAATATACTTAGCTTGAATTAAGCGATGGATTCAGTAAGCTCATTAAGTAGGTTTTTTCTGTATTTCTTTAACCTTTAACCCTCTGAGTGCCATGACTGGATTTATGCGGTCATCAGATTTTTTGTTACTTGGTGTTTATTAGCTTATAATTTAAGATATTTTGCTTTCTTACTATATTTATCAATGCAAGTATCATCTTAATGAATGTAAGTTTATGACAATAAAGACTAAAGTAATTACACAAATTCAGCTAATAAATACTGTTTATATACAGGTCTTTATGATAGGTCCAAAAACATGTGCCACTCGGAAGGGTAATTTCAAACTGATTTGCATTTTCAGAATTTTGTACTCATTTAACAAAATTTGCTTATATTTCACAGCTTCTCAGGAGTACTTTCCCCAAGATGAAGTTTCTTCTAATAATGTGTAAGTTAATTTGTGGTTATTTGTTTTGTCCATGCCCCATTTGTGAATTTTTTTAAGTGTACTGTGTTTTATCATAATTTTGTTAATATAAATTAACTTGACCATTTAAAGGAAACTTTGTTTTTGTGACTACATATTGTGTAAATTACACTGATGCCCAGAAATATTTCATGAAGTAAATCATTGCATTTGTCATTACATGTTATCTTATTCTGTCTCTAATAGTACATTGCCGATTTAAGAGGCGTGGGTTATTGACGGAAAAATTAAACAGCGATTGCTAAATGCATCAACAAGAAATACCTACTTTCAACTCTTACAATGGAAATTCTTCAATAAAACTGTCACTTTGATTGATGCACACAAATATTTTGGAGATTTTATGTCAAGTTGTTATGTGTGCAATATTAAGTTATGCTCTTTCAAACTTGAAACTGTATGCTTTCAATTCATGAAGCTAAATTCAGGAAACAGGACAATGTTACTCAAAGCTTAATGCTGCTATATTCATCTACAATCAGTCTCATTCTGACGTATGCTACTCAGATTTGCATTTTAAGATATTCAGAAGCATTTTAAGTTTCAAAACTGTACTTTGCATATTTTATTAAATTAAGACTGGTATGTTTTGAATAAATTTCTCCATTCTGATCGCCTAATCTTTTTGTGCCTGTTTCAAGCAAAATGTTTTCAAGTGACTTTTACAGTTTGAGGAGCAGTGGATTTATTATATTGCCTGCTTGCAATCCAGCAAAAACTGACCTATGTAAAAGATGCATTGTGAACAAACAGATCATGCATTATCTTCTTGAACAAACCAAAATGAGTTTGTGATGTTCAGCTAAGGATAGCAAAATTACATAATGCTCCATTATCAACCAGATTTAACATCTACTAGGTATAACTACTGTACATACATCCATTGTTTTGTGTTACTTTTCGACAAATCTTGCAGATCCTTACCTAACCCTTCCTTGTATTTGCTTTGTCTACTCATTAAAAAAAATTAGCTCCTTAAGTGCATTTCTAATTTTGATATCGGATAGTGTGTATTAATAATTTCGCTGTTTCATTCACAAATATACTGTGATCCAATCAATTTAATTTGTTTTATTGAAGAGGGAAGATACAAGACTATTTAATTTTTTTTATTCTATCTCCAGTTTGATCTGTCTGTCTTAAGCTACAAATAAAAGTATGTTCTCATGCTGGGCAACCAGGTTAAGATCGGAAAAGGAAAGTAACCATATGTTAATATATTTTTTTTTTACCTGTAGCTGCCCATTACAATAGGAATTGAACTGCTAATCATTCAAGTTGAAGCCCTGTAGCCACTGTTAAAACTTTTGTATAATTGCATATTAAAATGAGAAAGACAGAGATTTCTGTTTCAATGACCTCTGAACAAATTATATCTATGAGAATTAGGTCAAAGAAAGCAGAGCTGGAATCTACAGCAGTGGACTTGTATTCTGTTCAGTGATGAATTGATAATCAATTTATCATCTGATTCTAAATAGATTTGCATTAGGGATCTAGGGCTATGTAACATTAGAGACTCTTAATATCAGAAAATATGACTATTATAACAATGCAGATTTGAAGATATGGGGAAAGAAGATCAGTGGATGTGCATGATACATATTTAACAGAGGTTCTGTATCTGCCCAGATATATGAACATAAACCCCTTCAACTAATACGCCAGTATTTTTAGAGGGACATGTATATGTCTCTTTATATATGAATGACAGCATGTGTTCACATTGAACAAATCTAGTTGATGAATTTCTTGAACTGTGCAAATGAATCAGTTACCCAAATCTCATAACTTAAATCCCATGGGAAATATCCTTGAATGAGCAGTTAAATGGCAAAATTTTCCTTCTGGGGATCTCAATGCTTTGCATACTTTATTGAAGGGTACAATCAGCTCCCCTAAATTTATCGACCACTTTACAAGCATGAAATTATTATGCTTGTGTGCAAATTAGAATATGTTTGCTGCTAGCCGCAGAAATTTGCAAATGTTTCTGTTTTATTCATTCCCCTAAAATTTGTGCTAATGGCACCATTTTGTTTTTATTTCATAATAGTTTCATGCTATAGGCATTCATATTTCATTTTTCATTGTTTGTGTAAAACACCCCAAATAAATTCATTCTGTTTTATTTAACAGTTTTTGAGAAGTAATTAGTTTTGGCAGTGTAAAAAGAATTTTGAACTCCAATATATCACTTACGAAAAATAAAGTTGATATGTATAGAAAATATAAGTTTCCTTTAAATGCACTAGAGCTTTAATGTACATAAAAATGAATTTTATGTCCTTAAGAAGGAACAGATTCTTAGGTAATATAATCAGGCTTCTCTGATGCATGTTTCTTTTATACTTAGGTGTCCACCTCACTCAAGTTCTGTATCCTGTACTGGAAGGTAGGAAAAATTCACAGAATATAAATTTATGTGTATTATCAGTATTGTATATGATGTTAGGTCTTTAAGTATTGTTTTAAATTGGAGATTATCAAAGCAGTACATACATAAAACTACATAAGGTACTTTAAACTTCTAGGAAGTACATGAGGAGCTTTCAAAAAAATAATTAATAGTCAGTTAAAAAAATCAAATGTGGAGAATTTTTTTGTTGACTATATGCACTTTTGGTTGCCTGTGTTTGATTTACCTTTATTGCCGAATTATTTTTCCATTCAAATGAGGCTATTGTCTTTGATATTTCGATACTGTTACAGTATGGGATGATAAATGTAAAATCTATTTTTAAAAACTATCTGAATGTATAATCAGGATATATTTTTATTTTCTGACAGATATACATGCAGCACTTTTATCAAGTGCATATGTTAGTTTATATCAGACTTCGTTAAGGATATTCTTATTAAATTTCCTTTTTTCTGTATTCCAATCAAGAAGAATAAATATCCAATTTTTTAAAAAAAAAGCTTAAACTGGAAATTGTGAAATCACTGTATAAGGTATTTCCTTCCTCCTTTCATCATGCCTTCGTGGTGTAACTGTTAGCACACTCGACCCGTATTCAAGAGGTCCAGGTTTGAGCCCTGGTGAGGGCATTACTCATTTTTCATGTCTCCTGCTTCAAAATTCCAAATGACTCTACAGTTGGCAGCCGAACTAAAAGGTGATGGATGATGATTCTTCACCACCAGAATTTGGCGATTGGTCCCCTAATTCCCAGTCATCCTTTAAAAGGGGAAATTTTCTACCTCCTTTCAGCATGCCTTCATGGTGTAACATTTTGCATGCTCAGCACGTATTTGAGAGGTCCAGGTTTGAGTGCCAGCAAGGACATTGCACATTTTTCACATCTCCTGCTTCAAAAAATTCTAATGACTCTACAACTGAGCCTACAAAGCCACACTATTCTTTGCTTAATCATATTTAATCATGATTAGCAGCAGAAATCTGAACTTAAAATGCAAAAAAAAGAGGTTATTAGGATTGTTTTAATGATTTCTGTAGGTACAATCAGAACTTAACATTGCGTGCTATTTTTCGCCATCCAAATCCCCCCTTCGCATTATTTTTTGTGTAGGAAGACAAAAACTGAGTTGTGAAAGAACTTAATAATGAGTAATATATCTATAATAAGGTAGAAAAACCATTGCATCTGAGCAAATTCCGTATTCATAACTTAGCTATGATTTGGGTAAGACTATGCCTCTTCCCAAGAAGTCTCACGATCAGTGGAGGAAAGAAACCTCACATTGCAGCACTTGAAATTGTAGTAAAAGGTAGGATATTAATATATTTCATTCAAGTTTTAGGAAAGCTGAAAGATGTGTAAAAATTCACGGGATCAGATGTTAAGTGATTTAGATTAAATTTAATTTGTGAGATTACTTTGTATTGTGTCTGATGGTGCAGACTGAAATTCAGTAATGATTACTTTGAACATTATGAAATGATATGGGCAAAATGTGTATATGAAAAGACACTTGAGGATTAATCAGTTTTTAAAAATTGCTTAGATTTACATAGGTTCTTTTGAAGAATATGTGTGGTAAGTTTCATATCTCTGCCCCCCCCTTTTTTTTCTGTGCAATAGGCAAATGGATAATCTTCCCCCTTCATTGTTTCAGATAGATTGAGGTTACTTTTAAAAACTGAATGAAACTGTCTTTTCGGGAAGGCATTTGTGTGCAAAACAAGGTAATTTTCAAGTAAAAGAAGGCTGGAGTAAAAATTTTTAAAATGGAAAATGCATTCTTTTAATTATTGGAAATGGAGCACCCAGAAAAACCTTTACTAATATCCAACCATATTCATTGTCTCATTCCATCAGAATGTTATGTGTTATTGTTAAAGGCAAACAGATAATGGGATCATGCCGTTTGATACTGTATGACTTGTCTCACAAAATCTCAAATATGGCTGATAATAATTCAGAAAAGCAAAGCATCAGTACACTGAACAATACTCCATATAATGGCTAAACAAGATTGTTACTAGTGTCAGTGATAGCTCAAAGCATTTGCTAGATGTAGTAATTTCATTTTTGTTATTACAAAAGACATTTTATTCTGCAAAGACCTCTAAAATGAGAAGAGGGTTGCTAGCATCTCCACTGACAATCCCTGTTGTGATTGGCAAGCGTGGCTTGCTCTACCATAAAACAAAGCCATAGTTTCCAGGAGATCTGTAAATTATATGGAAAGTGAAGGCTTTGAAAAACTGCAAGCAAAGAATTCTAGAATAAGTCTGAAACGGAGAAAGAACTTGAAATGTCTCTTCTACTTCAAAAGAAGGAAAACTGTCTCTCTCTTTTGTATGAATTGAGACCCCCCCCCGGTAATAACATTTGAATGTTTGTTGACAGATTAATAGAGGCTGCTTAGGCTGACTTTTCAGCGATTAAATTAGTTGAGGAAAGAGTGCAGGGCAAGTGCTCAACACTATTGGGTATTTTTCCATCAGAAAATGAACTTGAGCTTAATAATTCTGTTGTCATTGATATAGAAAGAGATTATCAGGGTTTGATTGAAGACTGTCATTTAGAGTCTCTTCTCTGTTGACTGAATTGTTGAGCAACTGAACGCTTCTAAAAAAAGCTGAGTTTGTTCATTGCAGAACAATGAAAAAATCGTTATCACAAACCATAAGCATACAACAAACCTGTCTGCAGAAAATGTTAAATCATGTGATAAAAATAAATTTAATGTCCATAAGAAAAGTATCATATTCTCCAGATTAAAAAGCCTGAATTTATACATCAGTTAATTATAATTGGGTTTAAAGTCCTTACCCTTCTTTGCTCTCTCTCTTTCTCTGTCTGTCTTTTTTAGACTGCTTTTAGATTAAACATAGCTTTGAGTTAACTGTGGACCCTGGTAAATAATAATAGCCCAGTAAATCAGGACTTGACTGTGAATCCTAGGTCAGTTTAACAAGCCTCTTTTTAGTGAAAGAAAATTACATTAAAAAAGCCTTAATATTCCTTTGTCTTTAAATTTTAATTTCAAGAAAACAGCATTTGCTTCGATCTTGTGGCCTCAAAGCTTAAGATTTTGTATTTGGAGCTATAGCATGTTGATAAGTCTTTGCAGCAATTTTCACAGATTATTTAAATCCTGCAACCCATTCATTATGTTGCATCTGTGGGAGCCAACTTTCAGCAAAACTGTTTTTCTTGGCTCTGAGACAACTTCCAAGAAAATGTCTATATAATGTTACAGGTGGCCTGGTGCCAAGTCTCCAAAACTTTCTCATTCCAGTGAGTATGTGACATAGGATGCTGATTAGAGCCATCTTGCTGAATAGATGTAGTTTATCTAGCAATAGATTTCATAGGACAACATTTGGCTATTCTGGGTATCAGTTACCAGATTAAATATTCCAGTGCATTTACACAAGAGGTAGCAGTGCATCATGTTAATATGTAGCAGTTCTGATCCCTCTATGCTCAAGTCATGTCAAAAGTGTACCTTCGCTGATTGCCGAAATGGAAGATGATATGAGAGACTGCTGTAAAAGAATTGAGGACTAAAAAATTCTTTTGCTAAAGTAATTATCATAACTGAATTTAGATATTAGACTTTTAGTTTTGATGAAGGGATATAATCTTTAAGAAAACTCTTCAGAACTACTGTTTTAACTTAAATGTCCATTGACGAGCACACATTCTGCACTGTGAAACAAGTGGAAAATAAAATTAAATAAAAAGTGTAATTCTTCTAATGATTTTCTATATTAATTCAGAACTTGTATGTGTATGTAGTTCTAAACTGCTGTAAACTGTGTATGTGTTAAAAATATATCATTATTTTAAATTGTGTTAGGATTCTTCTTAGAATTAAATCTTAAAAATTACAGTTCTTAAAAAATTTATAATATATTGAATACCGTTGTATGATGTATACTGGAATATATATGTGCACTTTTGAAAAATTAGCATTCCTATTTTTGGGCCCAGACTGTCTATATCATTAAAGTTTCTGTTTCAGGAAAGTAAGGACACTGTTTGCTTGTCGAGGAGAAAATGAAATGGAATTGTCATTTGAACCAAATGAAATTATTTACAATGGTAATTGTTTTTTCCATTGTTTTTATTCTTTATATCATGTAATATTAACAGTTTTTTAACTTTTTGGCTATACTTATTTTATACTTAATGAATTTTGGATTTTCCAGATTTAAATTATATAGTATAGCCTATTGCCAAAATTCAACACTATTGTATAAATTTTATATATGATTTTGTTTTAATTTCAAAGTTAAAATATTGGATATCTACACTGATGTTAAAAATTAAGGGAATTTTCCCATTTGTTCAATTAGCTCCAAAAATGGGCAGATTATCCTGCAATTTGGCATGGATGCAGGTTGCTGTAATACATAAAATATCCCATACAACAGTACGTTAAACATGCATGATTGTATGTAAGGCTTATTGGCTCAAGAATATCTAAATCAGAATTTGAAAGATCGAACAAAAATCAGGCTATGATCCCCATTGACAGTGTTACTATTCTAATAGTGTGATTTCGTGCTGGCATCGAGGCAGTTTCTGGTGACAGATATTGGGTTGTCCAGAAAATTCATGATGATTTTGGCGGAAAATTTGGGAGATTTAACTTTTAGCATAAATTTATTAAATTATAGGTGCCATTCTGTTCTACAACACTTTTTCCATTTTTCAGGGAACATGAAAATTCCATTTTTCCAGAATCGCTCAGGTTTATCAGTGAAAAATTTTTCTACTTGATTTTTCATCTCAGCCAAAAAGTTTTCCCATTAGGAGATTTTTGTTCAGGTTGAAATAGGTAGAAGTCAGAGGGCACGAGGTTTGGAGAATTTGGTGGAAATCGTAGAATCTTCCAACTGAGCTCCAACAGCTTTTCTCAAGTTATGAAATAAATTAAAGCCGCGCATTTTCCTGATGAAACATGATGCTCTTCCGATTGCTATTTCTGGATGCTTTTGATCAGTTGCTGTCTTCTTTCGTCCAATTGGGAGCAATACTTCTCTAAATTTATCATCACGTTGTTAGGTAAAAGGTCATAATATGGGATCCCTTTTGAATCTCTACCAGACACAGAGCAACCTCCGAAGGTGTCTCCGAAGGATCTTCATCCGAAGGTGTCTGGTAAAGAGTTTTGTCTCTACCAAACACCTTCGGATGAAGACCGTGTTTTGGGGTGGCTGAATGTGGTTCATTCCATTTTCCCCAGGATCTTTTTCATTTAACATTGTTATAAATAATCCATTTTTCATCCTCCATCATTACGTGCTTCAAAAATGGTATCTCGTCATTGTGTTTATAGAGTGAGTCACAAATGGAAATGCAAATCATCAGATTTTTCTCTGCTAAATTATTTAATGGGCAACTCATACATCAAAATGATTTATGTAGCCTAGCTTCACAAAATGCTTGAGTATGGTGGATTTTTGACAAGGTGTTTTAATCTTATCTTCATCTGTGGTGAAGGGCCCACCCAAGCATTTTTTTTATCTTTAAGGTTGAAATCATCAGTTTTAATCTTAGCAAACTACTTCCATAGAGTTCTTTCAGCTACAGCACTTTCATTATAAACAATGCATATCGTGTTTGCTGCTTATGTGTCATTTTTGTATTTCTGTGAAAAAAAAGCATTAAATGTTAAAATATACTTTGCATTCTTCTATATGCAAACTGACAAAAATGTTAGCATACTGTAACCAGATTTTTTTCCCAGATATGCCTAAAGTACCATCTTCTATGCTACGTACACATGTTTTTTGTTTTTCAGTCATTCTGATATGTTCAGACCTGTCCTTTTGCCACCTACCAAAAATTGGGATGAACTTTCTGGTTAACCCAATAGTTTCAGTTCTGGAGCAGCACTGTTTTCAGGTTCTGGGAGTAGGACCGCTTCAAAACTGTACCCCAACATAACTGTGTCACACCTTCTATAAGTCAACCGCTGTTTGGAGACGGAACTCTTCATAATGGTGCCATGGCATAAGAGAACATACACAAGATGAAAATCAGTTTCTCAGTTGAAATTGATTGTCAGTACTCTTTTGCTAATTCACTGTTTTTTGCAAAGTGCACATCCTTATGCAAGCCCAATTTTAATTTCAATGACTGATTAATCAAATTTCTAGAAAGCAACTTTTTTTAGAGAGAGCTCGTTGGTCATGATGCTAAAAAATTTAAACACTTAAAAAAAAATAGTAAATAAGGGGAGATTTGAGACTTTCCACGAGTAGTGGTAAAAATGCTTTTTTTATTAATTTTTATATTTGAAATTTGGATGTGGATTGAAACATACATGGATCTGCAGTTCTGTGTACATGAAACAAATCAGATAGGTTATTTAAATTGTTATAGAAGATATGAATAATTGAATATTTAGGTTTTAAAAAACTGTACATCCTTTTTACCTCTTATGTGTGTAGCAGTTTATCATTTCAGTGCAAGTAAAACTTGACTTCTCTTCCAAGAAGCACAGCTTAAAAAATTGTTTTGATTGACAATCATTTTGGCACCCTGATGCCAGTCTGGCATTTTCCTAAAGGTGCAGACATATTTATGCCAATACATCATTTTTCATAAATGTGCAGCATCTTAATGCTAATCCAGTATTTTCCATAATGGTGCTGATACCTTTACACAAAGTCTGTATTTTTCAAAAAAGTGTGGAAGATTTATTTAACCTTCTGATTAATTAATTAATCAGTAACTGGGATGAAAATTAGACTTCCAAAACACACCTATGTGAAAATAGCCGGATTGGTCTAAGGGTGCCGACAATTAGTTTAAAGCAGGAAATTATCTTTAGTTTGTGCATGCTCTCTTATGCCATGGCACCACTATGAAGCTTTGTGTCTTTTCGAACAGCTGTCGACTTTAATAAGGGTGCAGCAACCATTATGAATGCATTTCCTAGGAGGAAGAAGGCGAGTTGCAATTCCCTCTCCTACAGCATTTCAGGGTTAGATCTTTAACAGGATTTAGGTCTAGAAATCTGGCTGAACAAACCATCCCGTTAATATCCTCACTGTGTCATTACAAACATTTTTCTCTGTCATGCAGTGTATATGCTTTGTCTTTTCATTCCATTTTATATGTTATTACTGTCTTAAAGTAATTGCCAAACACACCATGAAATAATAGACTATCTAATGAAAAAGGATGAAAATTCATTGCAAAGTTTCTTACTAAATCAATATGGCATTCCTTTAAACCTAGCATGTCAAATTGCTTTTACAGATAATTTTTCCAGTTTAAATGTTTCTTTTGAACAGTTAGCTTACTTGTGTACTTTGCAAATGCAATTTTATAATTAGCTGAATTTATCAAAATTATAGAAAATAATTTTAGCCAGTTTGACAGTGACTATTAAATTAAGGAAATTCTAACTATTTTTTGTGGAAACTGAACTGGCAGTTTTAGTCAGTCCATCATTTGTAAGATTTTAGTCCAACAAATTTTTTTTCTTTAAGTGTCTTAAGTTTTTTATGTGGAAACCAGACAAGCTGATAGTTTAAGGAATGCTGAGTTTTCTTTTATTTGATTACACATTAGTGAATTTGTGTTGCAACATGTTTAATCACTTCTTACTTAAAATTATGGATACATAGTTTAACTACGTATATTTCAGCTGATGTGGTATCTGCAGCCCATTAAATATATTTTTGTAATGAAACAGTTCAAAAATTATAAAATGTACTCCATGGACATAACCAGCTCAAAGTATGGAGGATTGTCTGTTATGACTGGTATGGTTATATTGATCTACCTCTTACAGCAGCCTTTCCCAAACTTTTCACTCTTAGACAAACCCTTATGACAATATCCAAGTTCTAGAAAATCCCAGCATCCAATAATATTTTTATTAGCGAACATTAACAGAAAACAAAAAATGACTGTCATTTTAGTCTTTTCAAAACAAAACAAAAAAATCTGAAAGGTTTCAGATTTTAAATTACGTCCAAATGTGGATTTTTTTAACATTTTGTGTGTTACCTTTATTTATTAAATGTAATGTTCTTTGCATTTAAATCATAAAATTCAGTTCAGTAGCAATGTCGCAAAATAATTTTAAAATGAGCATATCTTTAGAATTTCTGATACACAGTTTTGTGCCTGCTGGAGATAAAAAGGGTTCTTTCCCTGCTGTAGAATGTTGCCATTGCTCGCTTTTAAATCGCTGAGTTTGTTACTCAAAACTTCGTTAAAGTTTTGCAAAATATTGAATCTATAATAAAACAAATTCCAAATTTCAAATTTGGTCTTCGACATGCCCATATTCGTAGGAGGATTTAAAATTTGATGGCTGTATGTGCCGTTATTTTATCACAATGCAAGAAATAGCAACATTTATGCAGATTTTTCATTATTTAATTTCTTCAAACATAATGCAAGACTCTTAACATTTGGTGACAACAGTTTGAAAAGTGAAACGGATATTTATAGTGATTCAACACAAAATCGCAAAACAAAAATAATGGTCCTTCAGGGACAAAGCCCCTTTGTTCTAAAAAATGAAGTTACATGGAATTCATGTAATTATAAATTACGTATAGATAAATAATAAATTTATTTTTTAGAGTTTCTAACAAATATTAATGTAAATTCTGTGCCTATTTGGAATATAAATATTGGACTAGGGATATGATTTCGAAATATATATGAGAATTTCATCTTCAACAGAAAAGAGACTGTTTCTGTCCTCATTCTCACTATTTAAACAAAAAAAAAAAAAAAAAAAAAAAAGCTTGTTCACACTTGTATTATGTTGAAAACTGCAGCAATATATAATAACTTTCCTGTGAATTGTTAGATACTTAGTTTCAACGAAAATCCAGAATTTGTCGAAAACCATGTCATTAAATCTCATTTTCAATCATCTGATTGTTACAACCGTCCGGCTGTAAGTCACAAAGTTCTTTTAAAGTTAGGTTCCAAGAATGAATGGAAGTGCTAGAAAATGGGTTCCTCACATAGTTGCATAGTTTTGTTGATAGGGATGGAAAATAATCAGTTCTCTTTAACAGCTTTTCTACGTGGAATGCAATAATACTTGAAATTTGTTTATATCAATTTTCGCTTTTTAATTCCACTAGTTGTTCAAACGTATCAAGGCTCCCTTTTATGGAATGATTTACTGCCTGTGGGATTTTTCCTTTTCTGTGCAATAATCTCTGCTACTGAATAACTTGCTTCCTGAGCTCTTTCATGGTCTGTGAATGCATTTTCAAAAGCTGTACTATATTAATATTGGGATTTTAATAGAGTTTTAAAATAGTCAAATTTTAATTTTCATATTGGTATGATTTATCATAAAATGTGTGTTCAATTTTGTTGGACCCATTGCTGTGTTCAAAAGTTTTTTATTGCAAAAGAGACACAATGGAAGAGGACATTAAGGATCAAAAGTCCATGTAAAGCTCATTTGTAAATAGCTTTTATTGTAACAACAAACCTTTTTTGAACATCTTTCTTTATCAGTTTTTGAAATTTTGTATTACATTCTAAAGATTGATCACTAGTCTTCAGAATTATACAGATTGTTTATCTTCAAGTATCACCACATTTTAACTGTTAAAAATCTATAGAAGAATTACAAAATGTGTAACAAAACCAAATAAAGTACCAATAGAATAGTAGTAAAGTAACATAAAATAAATAGCTAAATAAGTAACATGCACTAGCACTTTGTTTAACCAATCGCATGATCCTACACTTCTTGCATCACTAATGCATATGCAGTTGCACTTGATTCTAGTATGTGACAATTAAAAAGCTGCCTTTGAATGGCAAAATTAATGAGAATTACTAAAGAATAAATCTCCTTCCATTAGTGGTTAGCGATTGAAAACACTGCAGCTGGCATGCTTCCTTTATTCAAAAAAACAATATTTTTGCGATATTTATTGAATTAACTGAAATTCAGTGTTAAAAAGCAGTCAAACAAAATTCTACAGATAGTGTTCTCCTCTTCTCTTGAGTAATATTGGCAAAATTAGCAAAAATTGAATTAAATACCCCAACTGGATATTTTTGGAATACTTGATTTCATTATTCATTGTGCTTTCAGATTTCTAGTCTAAAATGAAAGGGCTTTTGGTTTCTCCCTGTCAGAGAATGCACTACTAAGCTTGACAACTACAGAGTGCAGAGTGGAACTGAATATGGAAGACTATTCAGAGTTTTAAAAGGACAAACATTTTTATGACTTGGTGTTAAATTGCCTCCTTTTGGGGGGGAGGGGAGGAGGATTCTTCCTGATTTGCTATTATCTTACTTTCAAATGGAAAACCATAATTTTTCTGTTCAGGCTTTGTTAATCACATGAATAGTTAGGAAGCTGAAAAGCAATGTTTTAACGTTCTAAGTCTTTTCTACTCAAAATAATTTAGAAATTTTCCTCTTTTTGAAACATCAGAAGGTGGTGATGTGGGGCTTGTGCTGGGAACATTCTCCGACTATGTGTCTGAGCATCAGTTGAGACAATACAAAATAACAGTGGCCCAAACACATCCATTTTCAGTACTCTTTTTATCCTTTATAGTTATGTCAGTCAAAATTGGATTAGAGCTAAGTATATAAGATTCACCAGCTTTGTCTGCTATGGGCAAGTGGCCAGTGCACATGCTTGATTTATTCTATTGTTTCATTGCTTATGCAGTATGCTGATAAATGGTAGTTTGTGCTGTTCTGTTATCCCTTTAAAATATACAAGAAAGATAGTGCTGACAGGTATAGCATGTTTCATAGCCCTTTAGTTCTCTAACTGAAGTCCAATTTTATAATTATAATAAAATCTTAAAATGCATTGCTTCCGAAAGTATTGAAGAAAGTGCACTGTGCAACTTAACGGTCCATTTCACTATGACCCTATTTAATGCTGGTAGTTTATCATTAGGTATAATTATAAACTAAATTATATGGCATGTTTATCTGTAAAATACCATGTAATATTTAGCTAGCCTACAATATTATCAGTAGTTATCTTGAAATATATGTAGGTAATCTAGAAAGTAATTTCCATTTCCCACTTTTGCCATAGAATAGCTGTGTTCATTAGCTCAAGCAATCACATTCTTTCTGCTAAGTCATTTTCAAATTGCTAATTTTTGCAGCACTTGTTTCATGAGAGTTTAAAATGTTTAAAACAATCGATCATCCCGCCATGTGCGAGATATGATCAGTCATCCGATTTCTCAATGCGAGAAACTCCAAAGCCTGTGAAATTCACAAACAAATTTGAGAAATGTGTGGACCCAGTGTGATGAGTGATTCTAAGGTCAGAAGATGGGTGTGGGAATGCAGTGAAGGGTGTGGAAATGTTCGCAATAATGAACGAAGTGGGTGACCATTTGTGATTGATGATGTTATTTGATTGCAGCAGTTAATGTGAAGATTATAGAGAACAGACAGTGACATTTTCCCTCGAATTTCCTCAGATTTCCACATCACTTCTGCAAGAGATTGTTATTTACGTGTTCCTGCCTAAGAGACTACATGGAAGGGAGCGATGTCTTTATAGCTTGTATTAATGTGTAACACATGGGGAAACCCATGAAAACACCCATGCAGCCAGCCTGTTCACAGGATTCGAACCTCGGACCAAGCTACCAATATTCAGAATTTTTACCGCTCGCCCACTGGTTGGCTGCATGAGATTATGTCCAAAAAAACTGTAATTCCTGAAATTGCTTGGTGGGTATTTCACAGTCTTAACAGAGCAGCAGAAATCGAAACGTTCAGGGCAGTGCTCTAGACTTCCTGACATAGTACAGTGAAGAGGGTGATGCCTTCTTAACCTTTTAACTGTCATGCCCGAGATTATCTCGGGCACAGCACTGGTGTTCGAAAATGTCACGCCAATTTTTTTTTTTTTTTTTTTTTTTTTTTTTTTTTTTTTTTTTTTTTTTTTTTTTGAGTGCATCGTATTGTCATACCCGAATATATATTGGGAGATGTTTATTTCGACTACATTTGGTTTTTCCAATACAAAAAATTTGACAATTTGTGTACCCAAATCATCAAAATAACTTGACAGTTAAAGGGTTAAGCTGGATTGTGACTGGTGATGAAACCTGGATGTGTCACATAACCTCAGAATATAAACTCCAATCGATGGAATGGAGACATCATCACCAAACAGATGAAAGCCAAACCACTAATCACGTGTCGCAAATTGCTGTGTACAGTGTTTTGGGATCAATGGCATGTAGACAAACAGTCAGTGTAGCATGTTATTGGGAGATGCTTAGAAAACTGCTTGTGGTGCTTAGAAAAATGTATTGCACATTACAGAATAAGTTTCATGGCATGTTTTTGGAACAGAATTTTTCTTATTCATGACAATTCACAATTACACACTGCACGTGATACACAGTGATGCCTTACACAGTACCTGTGAGAAATTTTTGACCATTCCCTAAAGCTCTGATCTTGCACCGAGTGACATTCATCTTTTCAAGCACCTGAAGTCCTTTTTTGCTGGCGAGCAGTTCCAAGACGATGACAAGGTCATATTTGTAGTTACTTAATGGCTGCAATATCACGTGGCATCATTCTGTGACAAGGGCATCCAAACACTTATGCTCCTTTGTGATGAGCCCACCAGCGGCCGAGCGGTAAAGACGCTGAACACTGGTAGTTCGGTCTGAGGTTCGAATCCCGCGAACGGGCTGGCTGCATGCGCGTTTTCGTGGTTTTCCCCATGTGTAACGTGTATACGAGCCAGTTTCCCTTAGAAAGTCCTCCACGAAAGGCACCCCTCCCTTTAGGCAGATAGCCCTCGTGCGCTTTGCCATAATTAAATACACCACCAACACACCACCTTTGTGATGAATGCCTAAATAATGGTGCTACCTATGTTGAAAAATAGTATGATCATTGTAGTTCTTTATTTAGTAAAGGTTAGCTCCAAATGATCTTTGCCTTACTTTGGTATTGTTAAATGAAACTTACTTTCTGGATTCCCCTCATATTTACTTGTGTGGATATAGTTCACTGTTGTTTGAATATCATGCTGTTTTGAATCAATATCAGTACATTCCACTCATAATTTATTAATTCAATTAAAAGTAAATACATTTTTTATTCTGAAGTTATCGTAGTTTAATTTTGTAAATACTTTTGTTTATCTATCTTGTTATACTATGTACATTAACGTCCAATCATCATAATCTATGTATGTGGTGTTCTTTTTATGTGTTTCATTTTGTTTAATATTTTTTAATCAGTTTTTCTTCTCTATGCTAGTGACACCATCTCAAGAGCCAGGATGGATACGAGGAACATTAAAAGGCAAAACAGGTCTTATTCCTGCAAATTATGTTACGTACTTATCTTGAATTCACAGGTCCAGAGCCATTTCATGTGTTTCTTTCATGCTTCCATTCATTCCGTAATTAGAGAACTAAAAAATTTAGATCTCTAGTTATATAACAGTATTCTCATTATTTATATGAAGAACTGGCCAAGCTGTCTGTATTTGCTCATAATTATATGAAATTAACTGAATTCAAATGAAAGATCAGCATTAGATATTCTGAAATGTTTTCAGTTTTAAATTCCTTTAGATGATTATATCATATATATGTATACATTAAATATATATATATTTATTGTACATAGTAGAATATTTTGATATATTGCAATTATATTTTGTAATTATAAATTTTAATAAATGTGATTTTTTACTTGTTTTTAGTGTATTACCTTGCTTGTGAAATTTTGAGTACAACACTTCTGGATTCATTGTACATACCTTGTCAATATGTTTTAAAATTTCATTACATTCTACTGGTTCTAGGATTGCAACTTTATAAAATTTCTTCATTATTATAGTAACATGTTTTCTATTTGAACATTACAAAATGTGAATAGAAGAGACACGCCAATGTGACAATTAAAATTGCAATAACAACCTTGTATTTAGCGCACATATGTTGAAACACTCAATCAATTTCGAGGGCAGCTAAAGGTCCCTCCTCATCAGTAGAACAAAATTACTAGAAAGGGGAAAAAGATGAAAAATAAAGCATTGGCAAAGGAGTCTAAGAAACAGGTGGTCGTTATCAGCACACATGTGATCCTAACTGGATTTTGAATCAGATTTACACTGGCCACCTACTTTTACTGAGCCAGGCTATCTGATCAAACATATAACACAAAGACTAAAATGCAAACAAATCAAGGAAGTCAAAAAATAGGGAGCGAGGGGCAACTGCACCTTCACCTTTATTCGATATTCAGTCTTGGTGTGTGAAGGTGCAGTTGCCCCTCGCTCCCTATTTTTTGACTTCCTTGATTTGTTTGCATGTTAATCTTTGTGTTATATGCTTGATCGGATAGCCTGGCTCATTAAAAGTAGGCGGCCAGTGTAAATCTGATTCAAAATCCGGTTACGACAACATGTGTGCTGATAACAACCACGTATTTCTGAGACTCCTTTGCCAATGCTTTATTTTTATTCTTTTTCTCCTTTCTAGTAATTCCGTTCTCCTGATGAGGAGGGACCTTTAGCTGCCCTCAAAATCGATTGAGTGTTTTAACATATGTATGCTAAATACAAGGTTGTTATTGCGATTTTAATTACAAAATGTTTTTAGTATCTAAATTAAAAAAGCAACTATCTTAATGGAACTGTTTCTTGGACCTTTCAAAATAGAATCCAACAAGAACTTCACATGTAATTGATGAAATCTTGTTCTTACTGTGGCAAATAAAAGTATAGGGAAATATCTGTAGACAGCCTGCAGAAATGTTCATAAGACAACTTCCAGGCGATTTGGGTCTATTGTGGAGAGCAGAATAAAAAGGACTAAAAAGTGTAATGTGCATAGTCAGACATTTGAAGCTGCAACTGCTCTGTTTGCTAGGACACACAAGCAGTAAAGTTCCTGAACACTGTTTGTTTGATCTGGGTTTCATTCCAGGTGAACAGGCTGGCTGCATGGCTGCACAGTTTTCCCCATGTGTAATGTGGATATGAGCCAATTTCCTATAGAAAGTTCTCTACAAATGTACCCCTTCTCGTAGTCAGGTACCCTTCATTTACTTTGTTATTACCAAATAAACTATCCTCTGTTTGCTACAAAAAATGGTTACGCAGTCCAGTCTGTGAAAGATTTAACCTCAGATTAAAGTAGGATTTATGTGCATGTTTTACTGAACATTCTCTGCATTTTTACATAAAATAATTACTATTTTATAGAATTAAAAAATGAATAATTCTATGTAGTATATATAAAGTGCGATATATATTCTATAGATATTTTTTGGCAAGTGAAAGCTTGTAGCAGAACAATGTGAAACATTCCTCATATACTTTGTGATATTAAATTTAATTAAATAAACAAAATATGGTAGAATTCCTTTCAACCATCAGCAGTGGGACCTCGCCTTTTGGAATATTTCAGTATATATTTCTAGAACTTATCTCTGTGCATGTTTTGAAATATCATCTTTAGAAATTTTTTCTTTCAAAGTTTGTCGGTCCCATTCATAGATCTGTCTGCCACAATTAAGTAAATAATATCGAAAATTCTACATTTAAAACATGTGATTTTATATTTCAGAAAACAAAATTAAACATTTTAAAATTATGTTTATCACACAAAAGTTACTAATTTCTTAGTGTAATAGTATGTAAGTTCAATGTCTGCCTGATTGAAGTTTTGTTTTCGCAGTTTCAAAAATGCAATGTTTATACAAGAAAGCTTCATAAAATTATATACTTATGTGGATGAACATTTCTCGGCAACTGACTCTGCAATCCTTCATTTCCATTGAGATGAACAATTTTTTAACTGCTTGATTAATGATGTTGGGTGAAAAGCCCCAGTCAATAGCTATTGCTTTTAAATAATTTAGTTCTTCATCAAGGGCTAGTTTGGAGGAGCAAACTTGAAGTGCATGGAAAACATAGGAATAAAATGAAGCTAACTTTTGTTTACATCACTCAACACAGTAAAAGGCACACTCTTGTTTTAGAAGATTATAAAAATTCTGTTGTCATTCCTTTCTTTCCATCAATTAGCTATAAAGTTGCACATATTTTGCAGAAATTTAACTTTCGGGTTGTTTATTCTCCCATCAATAAAATTCCGAGTTCCATACTCAAGGACCCCATTCCGGATATGAATTCTCGGGGTATTTATAGGATTCCTTGCCAGTGTGGTTTGATTTACATTGGCCAAACTAGAAGAGCCTTAAAATTTCGCGTCAAGGAACATGAGGCATATGTTAGAAAAAAGGAAACACAGAAGTCTTCTGTTGCTCAACATTGTTGGTCCGAAAACCACACTTTCAATTTTTCTGCTGCCAAAATTATCCAAAAAACATCTTCCATTGGAGAATTGGATTTTCTAGAGGCATTTCACATTCAAAAAAATCTTTCTGTTCTAGTTAACGATCCTAATTCCAATCCATCATTGCCTTCGGCCTTTAAAGAAATTATGTTTTAGTTTTGGTTTCACAAACAGATGGCGCCACTTGCTTATTCTTGTCCAATCTTTCTTATATTATCTAATCATTATTTCCTATCTTGTTCATTTGCGGTTTTGCAGCTGAGGATGGTGGTTCGGTAAAACCATCGAAACTAGTCCTGTAAAAATTTTGAAAACATTACGCTGATTTTTGTTGTTTGACTTCTGAATTAAACAACTCATTGAAAAGAAACATTATATACCTTGGGATGTTGAAAATGTGACTTGTTATTGACTTCAAACAAAATCTATTACAAGAGACAATCAATGTGCAATTCATCAAATAAACTTGTAAACAGGCAGAAAGACAGTTCACAATGGGCACATTTTACAAAACCGATAGCCTCACACTTTGCACACTCATTATTTGTCACTGAATCGAAGCAGTAATCTATTGACGCAATCCACATTCCAGGTTCATCGTCCAAGTATCTGCCCTTATCTAAAGCATACTTAATCAAATTCTTAAAACGATTAGTGCTGAATTGATGTAGTGAAAAGGACTACAGGGCCAGAAAACTATCATAATGTCAAATGTGCTCCTCTGTCTCAATAATGATTGTGCCCGTTATGTAATGAAGAAAAGATTTGAATCTGAAAAAATGAATATCCAGAGGTTGGATCTTTCTGGTACAATCTTCAGGTACCAGTTCTTTTTGTAGGACATTATCATCGCGTACTTCGGAAGCAGACACTGCATGAACATACAAGAAATAGACACTCCATTACGGAAATATGTCTGTCTATACAAGCTCCTAAATGCTTTTCTCTCTGCCTGTAAGTCTTCACAGTTTTTCTACTTGTGATATAAGCTTTCAGAAAATACATGGGTTTCTGGTTAACCAGTACCAAAAGAGAGAAAGTTTACTTGTCAGTACTTATTCCGATTAGTATGTAATCGTCTTGAGAGACTGACGAAAACAGAATTCTGTACATCCATCCATACCTGCAGCTCATATTGACTAACATTAAACTATTCCAAACATGTAATTAAATACAAGATATCAGTCACCGACACCAAATGTGTTTTAAAACCAAGAGAATCATTGTCAATGAACTTGTCATCTACGAACGTGATCATAGGCCCCCAATTTACATGAGCAGCAACATAAATTAATATCCTGTACATTTTTGCAAGCAAGAGACTAAGTAAATTTGTCATCTGAATGTAGATTGCTTCTGAAAATCAGATACTATGTAGATCATACATCGGGGCAAGTTCATGTTCATTTTCTAGATCATTTCTGTGTCCATTGATTGGATAAGGCTGGTTATACTGTGTATCAGAAACATAAAATGTTTACCACATTTAAATCTCCAAATTATTAGCCCATTATATATTTATCTTGTAGCCCTAAATTTTGGATTTAAGTTCAGACGCTTAAAAGTTCTGTTATTCTGATATTGGCAGTTACAAGTGATTTTACTGTAGAAGGATTTTCTCTTTTTTTCACAAAAATTATTGAGAAATGTGAACGTTTAATTTTAAGATGAATATATCAACAGAATTTGTAAAGAAGCAAAAAGAAAGATTGCTGCAGCAGGCATTGATGCATAATTTTAAAAGAAATTAATTTTCACAGCAGACATGAAAGAATCTCAATTAAAATGGAGGCTTGAAAAGTTAAATGCGATAATCTGCTGATTTCTAGTGTCTAACTGATGAAAAATTAGTTCTGTGCATACCTGGCTATTAACCTTTGCTGTACCATGAAGGCAGTATGCAACAAACATTAGATTTGCATGAAAAGTATATGCTGAGATATGCAAAATGGTCAGAATTCCAGCCTATGTACACAAGCAGACATAAATAACACTGTCTACACTGTGCATAAATGGGAAGACCTGGGTTTGTCATTTGAAAATCGCATTTCATCATTGGTTGTTTGTTTGAAGGTGGTGTTACACACTATGTGAGAAGAAGAAACTTATCGGCATGTGTCAGAATTCAACTACAGCAGGACCATGGACTGTCGGACTGCAGTTTATCATCAGTGACATTCCTACTTATGTTGGTTGGGACCCATGATGGTCAGGCAACTACGGAATGGATAGGTCCATGAGAGACATACATACTAAGCGCCATGCAGGATCTCAGCGGCAACTAACACCAGAGAGGACAGACACGTTGTCCTCTTGGCACTGCCATGTCACATTCCCTGAGTTAAGAACAT